TTTACAGAAGGCTTTGTTTTGACTCCTCTTTTGCTTTGCAAGAGGCTCTTCAAACTAAGGGGCTCTACAGACTGCCTGAAAGAGGCAGCTCTGCATCGCCCCTGCATGCGCTGGATTGGGGCCATGGCAACCACACATGCTGCGGCCCTAATCTGGCACTTTGCTGGCCTAAAAAGGGCCGGCAAAATGCCATTCTTTTCAAAAGCGGCAAAAGGCACCTTTGCTGCCATGGCAGCATATTTTTTGAGATTTTGTGGTGCAGCACGTCTAAACTCTGCACCACAGAAATGCAGAAGCTCCGCTCGCCATGCAGTCAGTCAGTCAGTCAGTATGACACCGGCATCGGGGCAGCATCAGGGCATGTGGCATGCAGTCACCACACCCCCACTTCACTCCGAGGCTGCCATTCAGTGCCGGTCTGCATAGCCCCTAAATATATTAGTAGAGTTATTTCAAGGCTGTACTTTTAGAAATGTTTCATAGAATGTTTAACTTTATATCTGATTGTACTTATTAGGGAATGCCTGAAAGTTAAACCATGTCCAGCAAAAATGTTAATTATCTGCACTGGCCTGCGGGAGAGGATGGAAGTTATGCATTGAGATTTTGTGCCATTTTGTGCATATTTATAGCAAATTATTGTAGAAAGTACTGATAGAAAGACATTTTAAATTTAAATTTCTTTCTTACACCAGTGAAAGTTATGGTCACACCATGAAATTGGTGGGTGGTATACTGATGACAGAGAAAGGGAAGTACGTCCTCACAATAGGCATAATTTTCTATTACCAAATGTGCTGAGGATGCTCACTAGTTTGGTTCAGTGGCAGAGCAACTGCTTTGCTAAGGTCTTAGATTCATTATTTCCCATCTCCACGTAGTGCTGGAAAATACTTTTACCTGAAACCTTGAAAACCACTGCCAATTTATGTCAACAATACTGAACTAGATCAGTAGCTCTCAGTCTTTGGTCCCCCAGTTGTTGCAGACCATCTACTGCATTGATTTGCCACCAGTGAAGCATATCTTAAAGAAGTGATATGTGCCAATTTTTGGTACCAAATAATGTTTGGAAAGGCCTGGAATTATAGCCAGTGCCAGGTAGAACACCATCCTGAAGCTTTGGCCTTTCATGAAAGTATTCAAAATGAAATCTGGGCCTCCTCCTGGACATGTGCCTAAGAAAGTAGGACATCATGCAGTTTGTCTAAGGGAGGGCTACACCACTGGTGACTGTGCATGACGTTGTTGTTGTCAATCAGGATGGCTTGAAGAAGTAGCTTCCCAATGCTTTCATGCACAGCTTACAAAACATGTTGAAAAGCCTCTGCTATTCTTTGACTTATTTGAGCATCATGGGTTTTGCCATGATGTCCTGGTAGGTGTAACCACTTTCTCTGCCACGATTGGGCTGGAGAGACTTTTCTGTGTGTGCTCATTCCTTTAGAGACATGGCTAGAGCTGTATTTCAAGGAATATTGAGGCACCTCCAAACAGTTCATCCTATGCAAGAGGGATGTGATGCTCTTGACAATTTCTACTCAATAGCTTCAGTCCAAAGTAGTCGTAAAATAGCCTTGACTCACCCTAGAAGATGGGACATCTTCATGTCAGTACTGGGCATGGAGCTTAAGAAAAAAGACAATACAATTATCTTTTTACAATACAACCCCTTGGGATTTTAGTTATCCAAATATGACCAGAGTCTCAGGGAGTCCATACAACAGGGAGTATTAAACACGATATTTTGATAATACAGAGGCCTTGTTTACTGTACCAGTGATGAAGCTAAGTTACAATCAACAGTTGTGGTTATGTATTTGCAAAAATATCAAGCTGGGCTAGAATACTGCTTGTTTCTTAAGTAATGTGTGTATTTTCCTAATGACTCACAAGCTTCACACTGATTTTCAGATAGGTTTTAAATGATGCACTCCAGGCATTACACTGATGTCTCACACCTCTGTTGCTTCCTGATCAAAAATGGCTTCTGTTGCTGCTAATAGTTCCTACTGTTTCTGGAAAACATTTCTGTTCCTAGATTAGCTGTCTTAGAGGCAACACTCCTGGTTCCTAATCCTTTTCATGCAGTTACATCCTGTCCTCTCACCTTACTGTGCTTGAAATTTTTTTGGGCCACTTGGTATGGCCAAAAAATGGCTACCTGGAATTGAGAGACTGGAAGCCATCTGAATAAAACAAAGGGGCTGAGGAATGATTGGAATAAAGTTTGAAGGTTCTTTTTTTAAAAAATGTTGAAGGATGGATGAATAATAACTGAAAGAAGAAAAATATATACAAGGAAAGCATGAAATCTGGATGATTAGTGAGTGAGAGAGAAAGAGTGAGATAGCTCATTTGGAGGGCCATACTTTGCACTTTCCATAATGGAGTTAATGTGGAGGAACAGATATGCAGCTAGATTGGTCAATCTTTGCTAGACCTTCCTCTAATATGAGGAACAAAAATGCTCATTTATTTCCCATCCATCCAATGCCATATCTTGTCTTGTTTGGGTATGGCACTAAAGAACTGATGCCCAAAATGAGGACATGCATGCATCAAATCTAGTATGTGTAGACCAAGGTATGAATTAACACTATTCTATGTTATTTATTGCAATGTGTGGGCATAATAGCCCTTTTATGTTGCTTTGCATTGTTGTTTGCTTTCAAGTAATTTCTGACCAATGGTGACCCTAAGGTGAACCTATCATGGATTTTGCTTGCAAGATTTGTTCAGAGGGGGTTTCTATTTGCCTTCCTCTGAGGCTTAGTGGGTTTCATGGCCAAACTGGGATTCAAACCCTGGTCTTCAGTTATAGTCCAGAGCTCAACCACTCACCATGTGGGCTCCAGTAGTTAAATTTAATTTCTTGCAAACTACAAGAGTGTGCAGAGAATAGAAAATGAAAGCAAAACTTGGTATATAACTGACCCAGCCCTAGGATTAGGGATTGGTGAATGTGAGAAGGGGAGTAAAGCTGAAAGTGGAAGCTCAGCTGAAGCGGTGGGAAGGGAGTGAGAGGTTCAATTGAAAGGAAGAAGTTAAGAAGAAAGAAGGCAGACCATGAGGGTATGAGGCTTTATTTGTGGAAGAACAATTTTGGGGAAAAAAGCTTGCCAGTAGGACTCTGCAGAGAACTGCCTGCCCGGAATTTAGAGGAAGAGAACAGGAAAAATATAAGACTTGCATTTCTGAGAGATTGATTAGATAGGCTTAGATGATTCAATTTATTCTTCATTTGTTTTGTATTGTTCAATTTGGACTCGCTGTAAAATGAAACAAACTATTTTAAACCATTTTAGGATCTATTTGTGAGCTCTAACAAAAGAAATGCCTCCCTCACAGGGCCCCTTCTCCTAATGTGTCTCAAATCTTCACCAAAGTAGGAATAAGGAGACAGAAGAAGTTAGAAGACCACATGCACTTTCCTTTTTCACTTGACTTGGCACTCTCAAGGTTCTCCTCCATACCAACATGTAACAGGCTCTGTCCCTGTCTCCTGTTCTTGAATAAGAGAGGGGACCCCTGACTTCTATCTGCTGCCACCACCAACACTAAGGGCACCTCTACACTGGAGAAATAATGACGTTTGACACCACTTTAACTGCCATGGCTCCATCCTACAGAATCCTGGCATTTGTGAAGCATCTGCACTCTGGTAGGGAAGGCTAAAGACCTTGTAAAACTACAGCTCCCAGGATTCCATAGGATAGAGCCACATCACTTAAAGTGGTGTCAAACTGCATTATTTCTGCAGTCTGGATGTACCCTAATTCAGTCCATGTGACAGCGGGAATTGCTGAGGAGTGTAATTTGAGTTCTCTCCCTTTTCCATGGGAGATGATAATCCTAGATTATTGCACTGCCTTTCCTCCCAGCCTAGGCATGGGCTGAAACCTTTTTAAAAAGGAAATTATTGCACACCTCCATGCCTAGGTTGGAGGCATCCCATACCAGATAATGGCATCCTGTACTCAATCCAGACTTCTCCTGCACTTTGCAAAGAACAGCAAAATCCCATTCTTTCAAAAAGTGCCAGAGAAAGCCAGATCAGGTATGGGATGCCCCTGACCTGGGCACAGAGGTTTACAATAAAAACTATTTAAAAAAGGTTTCAACCTGTGCCTAGGTTGGGAGGAAAGGCAATACAATAATCTCCCTAGATGCATACACATGGGCATACTGAGGAAAGATAGGTGAAGAGAGTGTGGAAAAGAGAATATTTATAGCACACTTTTATTCTAAGCAAGCAAAAGAGTATCTTGTACATGAACGTCTCTTCCTTCAGGTGTTACTTAGAAGTAGTTACAAAGTTACAAAAACATCCTAAATCATACTTGGTTGAGGTTAAAAGAAACATAAGCCCTAATGCGACTAGCTGGACATTGCTGTTCTACTCACAACACAGATGGTATTTTGGATCTTTGGACGTTCATGAGAAGCTGGGAGTCTGGAGCCCTTTGCCTAGCATATGACCAAGCCTCCCTTCTGAGTCCTTTTTTGTGGGTTTCTTCTTCTTCTTGTCTCTCTGCTTCTGCCTTCTCCCTTCCCTCTCCATCAGTACCAAAAGTTTCTTCATTCTCTGAAGATATCTGTCAGCCTCTACTTTGTATCCTGTGGCACCCTGTTTTATAACCTCTCTTCTTGGAAGAATTTGGAAACTTCAACAATTCTCCTTATTAAGTAATTCTCTCTGGTGATCTCTGCTGCTCCTCCATAAATCATAGAATCACAGAGTTGGAAGAGACCACAAGGGCCATCCAGTCCAACCCCCTGCCATGCAGAAAATCACTATCAAAGATGGCCTGACAGATGGCCATCCAGCCTCTGTTTACAGACCTCCAGGGAAGGAGACTCCATTACACTTCGAGGGAGTGTGTTCCACTGTCAAATATGTCAGGAAGTTCCTCCTAATGTTGAGGTGGAATTTCTTTTCCTGCTGATCTGCAGGAAATGTAACCTAAAACCTGATCCCCAATAAATGTAACCTAAAAGCCAGCATAGCATAGTGGTTTGAGCATAGGAATATGCCTCCAGAGACCAAGGTTCAATTCCTTGCTCGGCCATGATACTCACTGGGTGATCTTGGGCAAGTCACATGCTCTGACTCTGTGTGGACAGCATTGGAAAAGCTCCTCTGAACAATTATTATCAAGAGAACCCCATGAAAGGGTCGCCTTAGGGACTCCATAAGTCAGAAACAACTTGAAGACACACAATCACCACAAAACCACCATGTCATTAATTCTTTGTTTACCTGGAGGATAGACTATACTTTACAGCTCTGTTGCCCAGGTAATATGATTCTGTTCACATAAACATAAACATTAGCATTTAATTTTTCTTTTTATCACCACACGATTGGCTCTATCTTGTTTTAGTCTTGTTGCCAACTGCTTGGGTCTCATATCAGGAGAAAGGTATGATCAGACATAGCTTTAGATCAGGCCTAGGCAACCTAAGGCCTGGGGGCCGGATGCGGCCTCGCTGCCCCC